AATTTAAAAATGGCATGCATAAAAGGTACATTGAATTTAAATTATGTTTTATGAATTTTTACATATTCCTTTACAATTGTATTTCAGATATTCCTGTTTGAATCATTTTCTTTTTGCCTATTGCACCTCTATTTTAGTTCCATAGAAGGATCTACTGATTATTATATCCAGATTTATACCCAATTGAAGAAATTCATGATTCAAAAAACAAATAAGCTTTGTGAAGTCTTCTACTTAACATTTAAATATTTCATCATTGACATTTTTATATTATCTGTAATAGTGTAATAGAACTTGACATACTAAAATAACTCAATTTTTTTTCTTGTTTTATTTACGCCAAATTTTTTTTTACGCCAAAATTTTAACTAATAAAATTAACATGAATCTTTAGCTGTTTGCTTTGTTTTTTGATTCTGCCTTTTCTAAGAAAAAATAAATATTATTTAAGAAGGCATTGACCAAATTTTTACCAAATAATATCATTTTTATTCTTTGAAAATATCATACTTTTATATAATGTATTTTTATCACAATCAATTCCCTCTTCCCTCTGACTGCTTCCAGACTCCTGCCTCACACCATCCCATCCTCTCTGAATTGGATATCCCTACACCTCCACTCTTAATTTGTGTTGGCCTACAAATTAATATGCTCATGGATATGGGATCATCCACTAGAGTTGACCTACCTGGGGCCACACACTCTAAGAAAATTGGTGCCCTCCTCTTAAAGTATCAGCTGTCAGTAGCTCCTTTGCTAACACCCCACCCCACTGTACCCCAGTGCTGAATGTTGATGACTTGATCTTATGCATGTCTTTTGAAGTTTAACAAATGATGCAACCATTTGTTGCCCCACCATACTTAAAAGTGTCCAAAATACTGTGAGGTAGAAAGGAGTGTGAGTTTAGATTCTGAATGTTTGTCTGTCATACCAAGTTTCTTTATTTCTGTGAAAGTAGGAACACTGAATAATGGTTGTCACTTCCTTTAACTTAAAAGTTTTATGAATGCTACTTAGAGATACTGCAATGTACATAATGAAAAAAAAAACATTTTCTAGTTGAATAAAAGTGCATTTAGTAAATACTTAATGCAGAAGTAGCCAAACCCCCTCCCAAAAAAAGAAAAGGATTGCAGTAAGGGCAACAACTCCAAGGGAAGTATTCCTGCTTCTTTAAAGCTTTACTCTTTTTGGAGAAAATAATGGACTTTTCTGTTTGCAATCTCATGAAACCCTGCACTCCTGGCACTTCCGCATTGATGTGCTGTCATTCTGAGACGCTGTGAGTAGAACTGTGGACCAGATATAGATGCATCTGTAGCCTCACGGCTCTCTCATCCTTAAATATGGTCTTTCTTGTTGATAACAGTAGTGCTTTGAAATAAGCAAGAGATTTTGATTGGTTGTATTAACATTTGCATTTTAATTATGGATTTTTATGCCAATTAAGTTATATGTTACAAATAATGACAAACATTCTGATCCTATCATTTTATAAAGCTGTGCCTGGCCAAGCAGAAATTTTATATTCAGTAGTGGGACACTATAAATGCAGCTGACTTACTCAAGAGACTACCCCTTATCCCTGCATCATTTGTGCTTTGGAGTGTTCAACTTTCTTTTAGAAGTAGAGAACTTTCAGAAAATAAAGAATAAGAAAAATTGTGTAATTCTATCACTTGAACAAAGCAGTTAATTTTGGGTGTCTTTTCTTCTAGTCTTTATCCTACATTAAAAGAAAACAATGTTGCTTGCAGCTTAACTTTTCACATTTTACTGTGGGATTTTTTTTTCTACTTCATAATATAAATACCAAACATTTAAATGTATGATCATTTGTCTTAACAATTCTTAAACTGTAGTGTGTGGCAAAAGCTATATCCTGAACTTTTTGGTTAGTGTCGTTAGCTTGATAAATTTTCTCAGTATATTAAAACCTTTGACTGGTCTTTCCTGTGTACTGCTTTCCCCAAAGAATTTGTTCTTTGAGCAGTCCTGAACTGTAGCCTCTTTCTTTGTTTTATCCTCTATGCTGGCGTCTGCCATAGGGGAGGGAGAGGAGGAAGAAGGGCATTAGTCTACTATGAGAACATGAGGATGGTCCATTCTCAACTCTGCCTCACTAAGGGTGATAGGACTTGGGTATTTATATTATAAAGAAGTGGATGATTTTAGGAAAAGGTTACGGTATGGAGGTTGTCATTGTTTGGTTCCTTGGATTTTTTAAGTGAAGCAATCCATAATCTGTATGTACATAGTTGAATGGTCTGCCTTTTCATAAGACATTTTCAGGAAATGGCTTTGTTAACATGAACTAAAAGTAGAGTTTTTGGCCTTCTGGCATCAAAAGGTCTCCTATTACACATTTGCCTAGACTCAAGTGAAAGGGGAGTAGTTTCACTCAGCTTGTAAGGGACAAATTAGTCTGTTTTTTAAAAATAAACATTAGGCAAATGTGAAGTATAAGTGTCCCATTTTCAAAGGTGGTTTCTGTAGCAGAGCTACTGGGAGTATGTGTCTTAACTGATAAAAACACAACTAAGCAAACAAAGCTAGAAGATTTGATATGCTCAGACTTCAGTTTCTTGGACATCTCAACTGTTGATACCTATCTTCAAAATGTAGTTCTGAGCCAACCACAAGTGCATGCCCTGAAGCCAAAGTCAGTTTCCCCGGCTGCAGTACTATTGCATAGGTGCCTCCACTCTACCCACTCTTGCTTTACAGACTGCACTTTCTAGTCTGTAGAATTAGGGAAAGAACACCTGAATGTCATTTTAGCAGTGTTTGTCTTCCTCAAAACAACAGCACATAAAAAAAGATTTCTCATGATTTTTACTATTGTCCCCTAATGTAGAGATCATAGAAGAAAGCCTTTAAGGGAATACAGCCCTCTCTATTGCCTGCAGCTCTGTTAATATTTCCTTAAACATACTGTTGTATTCAGCTGTTTCCATGCCAGTAAGCAAATGCTTGCAAACTGTCCTCACAGACACCCAGCTCTCCAGTTTTGTGTGTGAATTCTGTTCTGTAAAATTCCTACAGAAATGCTTATATAATGTCATGAATTTGCAGTTATCTGTAGCTGGTTGGGTTTTTTTGGTTTTGTTTTGTTTTGGTTTGCTTTGGGTTTTGGGTTTTGTTGGTGGTGGTTTTGTTTTTTGCTATAAAATACACCTTTCTAGCTATACACCTCTCTTTGCACAGCCTTCTGATTTTTATACAAATTGACCATTAAGAATTTTAAGTCACTTTTTGTATTATTTATGCTAAAATACAAAAACTGAAGATGTTCCTTAGAGGTTTCTGCCCATTCATATGCCTCTAGGTCTTTAACCCTGTTTCCTGGTACCACTTCCTAAATTTGCTATTTGTATCCTACCCTTCATTTCATACATACTGCTTGAGTGCATGTGTATTTTTCCCCCATAGTGTTACAGAGTATCTCTAAAAATAGCATAGAACTCTAGGAGTAGCTTTACGTGTATGACCAGGGGAAATTTGCAGTCGCAATTTTAGAAGTGCAAATTTCTGGTGCTGGAGAAATGGCTCAGCAATTAAAATCACTGCACTTGCAGAGGACCAGGGTCACTTTCCAACATTCACATAGCAGCTTACAACTGCCTGTACCTCCTGTTCCAGGGGAACCAACATGTTGTTCTAGCCTCTGCAGGCACGTGGTGCACGTAATACACATAAATAAATAAATCATTTTCATTTATTTTTTACTGTTTTTATTGAGCTATACATCTTTGCTCCCGTCTCCTGTGATCCCAATGATCCCAATTTACTCAGGAGATTGTGTCTTTTTCTTCTTTCTATGTAACTCCATGTATGTCTCTCTTAGGGTCCTCTTTGTTGTCTAGGTTCTCTAGGGTTGTGAACTGTAGAATGGTTTTCCTTTTCTTTGTCTAAAAGCCACTTACTTGTGAGTACATATTATATTTGTCTTTCTGGGTCTGGATTACTTCGTTCAATATGGTGTTTTCTAGATCCATCCATTTGTCTGCAAATTTCAAAATGGCCTTGTTTTTTTTACCACTGAGTAGTATTTCATTGTGTAAATATACCACATTTTCTTTATCCATTTTTCAATCGAGGGGCATTTAGGTTGTTTCCAGGTTCTGGCTGTGACAGATAATGCTACTATAAACATAGTTGAGCACATGTCCTTGTGATATGGTTGAGCATCCTTTGGATATATACCCAACAGTGGTATTGCTGAGTCTTCAGGTAGATGGTTTTCAAATTTTCTGAGAAATTGCCATACTGATTTCCAAAGCAGCTGTACAAGTTTGCACTCCAACCAATTAATGGAGGAGCATTCCCCTTATCCCACATACTCTCCTGCACAAGCTGTCATCAGTGTTTTTGATCTTGGACATTCTGAATCTCAGAGTTATTTTGATTTACATTTCTCTGATGGCTGAGAATGTTGAGCATTTCCTTAAGTGTCTTTCAGCCAAAATAAATCACTTTTTAAAGACAGAAAGTACAGTTTTTCTTTTAGAAGTTTTTAATATTCATCACTAGTACAGAATCGTTTCCCTTGTTATAGATATCATTGTGAATAGGTTTCTCATGCGTATGCAAGGTATTATCAAGTATGAGATCTTGGCATGCGATGGAACTTGAAGGCATCTGTATATGTCTTGAATAGCAAAGATAATATGTGACATGGGCCACTTGATATTGGAGTGACTGAGGTGTGGTGAGTACATGTGTCTGTGTATCTCCATCCTTCTTTTATGTACATACTTTTAGAGTTTTTCTCCCTGACTAGGAATCACTTTGCCTTTGTTAAATGTGCCTTTTTGATGGCTCTTTTCTGTTACCTGGATGCTGTTTTTTGTTATCATTTAAGTTGTTTTAATGTATTAAGGTATATCTAGATGAGAAAGCAGTTAGAAATTAGAATTATAAAGAAGTACATGAAAATATTGGAATATAAAGACTGTATAACAAATGTTGTATTAATAATAAAATGCACTAAAAGTGGAAGCTGCGGAATCAACCATGTAGACAAATGAGAAAATATCTTTTGTCTGCAAAAGGCAGCAATCCTACATAAACATGGAGGTCTCTGTCTGACTTAGGACAGCGGGCTAAGTCTGATCGTTCCCCTCCATACAACTTTGTGAACTACCACTCTAAATACTGTTTTCCTTATTTTGTTCAGTATCTCTGCTGGTTGAGTGTATTAGATTGTAGAAGCAAACAAAAAAGAAAACCAAGTAAAGTTAGTTCAGCCATTTGGAAGTATTTTATGATTGCATTGTCTGTGTTTTGGCCCTTTTCTTTTTAATGCTTTTTGAAACAAAGTCCCTTGTCACTCAAGTTAGCCTTGAACTACCTCCTCTGCAATTGAAGTACAGGGGTTACCCGTTAGTTGATGGTTTGTGAAAATAGATTACTGTTTCTGTTGGCTTATTTGTTTGAAGAACCTACAACCAGGATGTACAATGTATGTAGAATTGCTATTTTCCTAGGGAATGGGTTAGACTAATTAAAGTTATCAGTTATTGAAAGTAGCTTTCATGAGGTACTTTTTATTAAAAGTTCCTGTTTCTTAGTATTAAGTTTGAAGTTGTGGTTGAGTCTTAAGTTTTGGGGAGAGGGGCAGGAGGAAAGGGGCTGGGCAGAAACTGAGTGGCCTACAGTACTAGGGTGAGCTGTGAGCAACTACAACTGGTCTTGTTTGTAATTAATTATGGAAATACCATGTTTGTGGTTCTAAACTTTCTGTATTTCTTTCTTGGAGTAAATTTTGCTTGAGGCAGTTATTGAAGCAGTTTGCTGAATTTTCCTGGCCCATTAGACATCCATGGTCTAGCTCTTCATTTCAATAAACAATTTTAAAATTTTCTAATAATTATATTTATTTTTCTTATTTATTTAGCATAATAAATTCTAATGTAGATCTATGATTCCTTTCTATAGTGACCTGACTAATAAGTGGCATAAATATTATATAGGTAAAATTCAAAGAAAAAAGCATATGACTTAACTTATGCTTGCAAAAATATATCAGAAATAGGATTTAACCAAGGCCAAGAAATGTATTTTTCCTTTGTTGTTTAAATCATTTAGGGTACCCTTTTGGAGATATCTCCTTGTGTTTGCTATCAGTTTATTTATATTTGCTGTGTGTAGATATATGTGTATATCTTTACCCTTTTTGACATGATTATGCCTATCTTGATTTTTCTCATCCACAAACTTCTCTAAAAGCTATTCGATATATCTATCTAACCAGGTGGATAATTATGAGCCACTTGGTGTCCATATTAATAATAATTCTGTACATTGTTCAATATCATTAATTACAGAACCTGCCTATATTTTTATGCTCCAAGGTTGAATGGAACTATTTTTGTGGTCTAGGAATAATCACATACCAAACCTGGAGCTAATCACATGTGTAATATTTAGTTTTTTAATGTTAGGTTGAGATTGTGGCTTTTAAATTTTTTGCTGTTTACCACTGAGGACTGCTTATTAGTGAACCTAAGGACTTTGAGGACACAAATCTAAAGGTTAAATATTAACATGGTTAAATGGAGAACAGGAAGGAAAGGAAAGAGAATCTGTTGATTCCAGTGAAGGTAGGTTCATGGTTGGGATGGATCTTTCTTTTCCTTCTCAGAGAGTTTATGATTCTATTCATCTGACATGTTTTAAAATAGCAGGCATGTAGCTGAGCTCAGCGATAGTGTTTGCTAGTTTACCCAGCAAACACAAGCCCCTGAGTTCAGTTCCCAATACACAGGCAAGGAAATGCACTAAAATAATAGTCACACTTTTGACTACTTTGAACTGAATGAATACATTTTTGAAGTAGCAAATTGTCCCTCTTTTCCAGAATGTTAAAACATCTTAGACCTATAAAAATATAAAATGTTCCTAGACTAATCTCTGTGTGTTAAAAGACCATTTTCCCCAGGGAACAACCACTAATACCAGTTTTTAATGCTGATTTTCATGCATATAGAGGTAAATATCAGTCACTAATTTATTCTTGATGTTTTATATGTTTATTTACTATTGCATTAGAATAACCTTAAGATTTGAAGTTCAGATTAATACATAATATTCCTCTAATTAATTGTTATACTTTTTATATCTGACAATAAAGATACTAGGAATTATTCAGCACTTAAAATGACATTTATGTGCAGCAAAAGATCTGTCTTATCTTTTCTTGGAATTATTATTTTTTTAAAAAATCAGGGGATGAAGAGATTAATCAGGTGAGAACACTGGCCTGCTCTTCCAGATGGTACAGGTTCAATTCCCAGCACTCACATTGTGATTCATAATCTGTAACCAGTTCTGAGGTATGCAGTGTCTTTGTATGACCTCCTCAGGCACTTCACACACATGGTGCACAGACATACAGGTAAAGCACCCATACAGAGAAATAAGAAGGAAAAATATCAGTATAAAATATCTTCATTGCTCATTCAGAAAAGTCTCAGTTTGAGCTGAGGAAATGAGTCAGTGGGTGAAGTGCATCCTACACAATCATGAGTGCCCAAGTTGGTTACATAGTACTCATGTAAGAAGTTAAACATATTATCATGTGCTACACCCCAGAACCCAAGGGCTTACTGACAAAACAGTCTACTGAAATGTTAAGTTCAACCTTCACTGAGAAATGGCCTAAATAAAACCTGGCCAGCTCCCCACACAGCCACTGACTCTGCACATAGAACGGTCTTAATTAAGAAACTTAATCTCAGAATTGAAGCTATGATAAATCTCTTTAATTAATAATGTAAATCCTTTCCTCTTATTTGTCAAGTTTTTTAAGAAACCAGATATTTGTTTGAATGAATCAAAAAACCGAGGGTTCATTCTGTCAGTCAAATAATAATCATCATCATTTAGTATTATCCTAGATGATGTTAAGCAAGGACACCTAAGTAGGGAGGAATTAAGGGATTGGAATGTCATGGGATAAGCTTGTTCTCTTTTGATGAAGAAGCTCCATTCTCCCAGATGTCAAAGAAGGGAACATTTGGCGGCCCAGGTAAGCTATGTACACTGAGAAACACCACCCCTTTCAACCTTCATTCCATAGCCAGACCCTTTATTTTATTGAAAGCACTTGGATGTGTGCATATGTGTAATTTGAAATGTCTATGTATGTAGTGATGAGAGTTGAGGCTCTCTTGTACTTGTTAAATACTTTCCTAAGATTTCATTCTCTTAGGTGCATGACAAGATGACTAGTTCAATAATATAGAAACCAGTATTGATGTATTTATTAATCTTCATGAACTGATTCCTGACTTCAGTTTTCCTTACAACTTCATATAATAGAAACAACATATGTTATTTCTTATATACATAATAAATATTTATAATTTATAATAAATATTTATAAGTATATAAATAAATATATATTTTTTTCTTTTTGTCTGGTTTCTTCAGCCTGTTTTGTTGGTGCCATTCCTCTACCCCCCTCATGTGTGTACGTTTTTCTTTTTTTATATATATATTATTATGACAAATTTTCACTTCCCATTTCCCTCTCATTCCCCTCCCCCATTCCCCCTCCCTCTCCAGACCAAAGAGCAGTCAGGGTTCCCTGCCCTGTGGGAAGTTTAAGGTCCTCCCCCCTCCATCCAGGTCTAGGAAGGTGAGCATCCAAACAGGCTAGGTTCCCACAAAGCCAGTACATGCAGTAGGATCAAAACCCAGTGCCATTGGCCTTGGCTTCTCAGTCAGCCCTTCTTGTCAGCCATGTTCAGAGAGTCTGGTTTGATCACATGTTCCATCAATCCTAGTCCAGCTGGCCTTGGTGAGTTCCCATTAGATCAGCCCCACTGTCTCAGTGGGTGGGCGTACCCCTCATGGTCCTGACTTCCTTGCTCATGGTCTCTATCTCATCCATCGCCAGATGAAGGTTCTATGGTGATATGCAAGATATTCCTCAGTGTGGCTATAGGATGGGGCCAGTTCAGGCGCCCTCTCCTCCAGCTGCTCAAGGAACAAGCTGGGGACATCTCCTTGGACACCTTTTCTTTTGTTTTTTTAAGACAGGGTTTCTCTGTGTAGCTGTAGATCAGGCTGGCGTTAAACTCATAGAAATCCCCCTACCTGTGCCTCCTGAGTGCTGGGATTAAAGCCATGTGCTATTACTACCCAGCTTGTATATATAGTTTTATGTTGTTGTTTTTTTTTTTTAATGTAAGCAACATTTTTATTTATAGCCCATTAACACACAGAGGTTCACCCATTTTGAACATAAAACATTTTTCTGGATTTTAATTATTTTGAGTAATATTTATATGGTTTAATATTCTTTCTTTTGCATACATATATCTACAGGTAGAATGGCTACATCATAGGATAGGTATGAAGTTAGCTTTGTAAGGAACTTTCAGACCTTTCCCCAAAGTTGTCATCTTATTTTTCATTCTTATCAGGAGACTGTGATCACCTACTTGTTTCTTACCCATGCCCATATTTGACGTTGTTGGTTTAATTTATTTTTTCTAGTAAGTGAAAGTTATGTTAAATTTTGATGAGATAAGTTTTTCAACATTTTTATGAGGACAGCCATAAAGTCCTTGGTTTTTTTTCTATTTATTTATTTGTTTATTTATTTATTAAAGATTTCTGTCTCTTCCCTACCGCTGCCTCCCATTTCCCTCCCCCTCCCCCAGCCAAGTCCCCCTCCCTCGTCAGCCCAAAGAGCGATGAGGGTTCCCTGCCCTGTGGGAAGTCCAAGGACCACCCACCTCCTTGGTTTTGTCTCCTTAACCTCAGTGTGGGCAGTTCTTTTAAATTGTTTGAAAATTTCATGCAGTGTGTTTTGATCATACTCCACTCTCTTCCAACTCCTCTGATTCCACCCCTACCCCACCCCATACTCTGTCCATCCAACTTTGCTATCCTCTTTTTAGTTTCTTTTTTTAACCCATCAGATCCAGTTTGTGTTGCCCAATATTCTTAGATGTGTGGACTTCCACTGGGGTGTAGTCCATTTACCAAGGACTGTTAAACAAACATTATTTTCTGTGTTTTTTTTAATCCTATATTTTGTTGTTTTTTTACATTTAGAATTAATTTTTAGGGTGATACAATCTAATTGAGGAATTTTTTAAATATATATTTCAGCAGACA